TAGCCCTCCATGGGGACCACACCAGCCAATGCCCAGCCTGGTTTTCCCTCACTGCAAAACCCCCCACCCTTGCCCCGTCCCCCTCTTACCTACAAACTCTGGGGTCCCAAAGATGTTTTTGAACTCGTTCCCGGCTTCGATTTTGTGAGCAATGCCAAAGTCGATGAGCTTGATGCGGGGGCTCGGCACGTTCTTGTCCAGCAGCATGATGTTCTCAGGCTGGAGAGAAGCAAGCGCAGCTGATGGGGTGAGGCGTGTTCATGGAGGCTTCCAGCAACACCCTCACTGAAAGCCCCGTGCCTCCGAGCGCAGCGCCAGGCTGGCAAGACACACCCTGCGATCCCCTAGCCGCCCTCCCCCTCTCGGACTTGGTCTGCTCTACAGCTGGAGAGCTGGGGTTTCCGACCAAGAGCGCTGCACAGGGGGTGCGGCTCGGCCGAGAACTCAGGCTGTCGGCCACAGGGTGGAAGGCTCCGGCAGCCATGCAAATAAGTCAGTGGAAGTGCTCATAAGAACATCCACCCTGGGTTAGACCAAAGGTCCATCTAGCCCAGTGTCCTGTCTGCAACAGCGACCAATGCCGCAAGCCCCAGAGGAAGTGAACAGAACAGGCAATCATCAAGTGATCCCTCTCCTGTCATCCATTCCCAGCCTCTGACAAACAGGTCAGGGACACCATCCCTGCTCCCTCTGGCTAACAGCCATTGATGGACCTAGCCACCGTGAAACTATCTAACTCTTTTTTCAGTTCCGTTAAAGTCTTAATCTTCACAACATCCTCCGGCAAGGAGTTCCACAGGTTGACTGTGCGCTGTGTGAAGAAAAACTTCCTTTTGTTTGCTTTAAACCTGCTACTTGTTTATTTTATTTGGTGACCCCTAGTTCTTATGTTACGGGAACAAGTAACTTAACTTTTCCTTATTCACTTTCTCCACACCCGTCACGATTTTATAGACCTCCGTCCTATCCTCTCCGAGTCTCCTCTTTTCGGAGCTGAAAACTCCCAGGCTAGTTAATCTCTTTTCATATGGGACCCGTTCCAAACCCCTCCACATTTTTGTTGCCCCTTTCTGAACCTTTTCCAATGTCAATGTATCTTTTTGGAGAGGAGGCGACCACATCTGCACGCAGTATTCGAGATGTGGGCGTCCCATGGATGTGTAGAGAGGCAATAAGATGTTCTCTGTCTTGTTCTCTATCCCTTCCCCCCACCCATTTTTAAATGATTCCTCGTGCTCCTGGTGAGGGCGAACGCTGCCAACTGAGAGGGTGAAGGTGAGGGACCTGGGCAAAGTAGGGGGTGGCTCTGGGCCCCTCGAAGGGGCAGAGCTGGGGTTGGCCTCCCCCAGCCAGCCCTTCAATATCACCTGGTATGCGCCGCCACTGTGGCAGCGGCCAGGAGCCCTGGGACCTTTACATCACTGGGCCCCAGGCCAGCTGCCCCTTTCCAGCCCCGTGTAGCACAGAGAAGGCCTCGGTCATCTTCACGACGTTTATCGCTCAAAGTAGGGATGTTACATATCGGTTCATTGATCAGTCGAGTAACCTCATGAGATGTTATCGGTTAGTCGACTAGTCTATAGCCCCTGGGGGCGGGGGCGGCAGCCACGGTACCAGAGACAGCAGCGAGGGGTGCCAGGTGGGATCTGGTCTGCGAGGGGAGCCAGTTTAAAAATATAAGAGTATTGTGTCCAGTTCTGGGCCCCCAATTACAGGAAGGATGTGGACGCATCGGAGAGGGTCCAGCGGAGGGCAACCAAAATGATGAGGGGGCTGGAGCATATGACCTATGAGGAGAGGCTGAGGGAGTTGGGTCTATTTAGTCTGCAGAAGAGAAGAGTGAGGGGGGATTTGAGGGCAGCCTTCAACTCCCTGAAGGGAGGTTCCAAAGAGGATGGCGAGAGGCTGTTCTCAGTGGTGACGGTGGCAGAACGAGGAGCAATGGGCTCAAGTTGCAGTGGGAGAGGTCCAGGTTGGATATTAGGAAAAACTGTTTCCCTAGGAGGGTGGGGAAAGTTGGGATTGGTCCTGCCTTTGGCAGGGGGCTGGACTCGATGACCTTCTAAGGTCTCTTCCAGCTCTATGATTCTATGATCCCCTCACCGACCAACTGCCTGTCAGCCTGTGTGGCTGCTTCTGAGAAAGAGGCAGCAGCACGGAGTAGCAGCAGTCCCTGCCTGGGGGTGGGGGAGACGTCTGAGCTCCCGGACCCAGTGCAAGCCAGAACTGAGCTGGGCTGGGCTATCTGCCTGCCTGGCTCTTAATACACTTTAAATGCAGAGCTGCAGCAGGGGTAGGTCCCGGACTCGGCACAAGTCAGGACTGGGCCAGGCTGCAGGCCAGCCTGCTAAAAAACAGTAATGGCAGGGAGAGGGAAAGGTGCGTGGTCTATAGCATTAACCTCTACGCTTTTGCTTATCTGTTAATCAAGTACACTATTACATCCCTAGCTCAAAGCCCGGCTTTGCAGGCAGCCGGCCCTGCAGCCTCTGCCCCGGGCCTCCTCCTGC